GCCCTATGCCCTAAGCAAAGCAAAGAGATGAAGAGAGATGAAGAGAGATGAAGAGAGATGAAGAGAGAGGAAGAGAGAGGAAGAGAGAGGCAGAGAGAGGAAGAGAGAGGAAGAGAGAGAGAGAGAGAGACATAGCAGCGTCGGCTGCCACTATGTCTCCCTCTTCGACCTCGATCTCCTCTTCGCTTGCACTGTCTCCCGCACTGTCCCCCGGCTGGTTGGTGAGCCCCTTGAGGTCGTCCATTACGTGCTTGACAGGTGTGTCGTGTTCCAGGTCTGTCGTTGCTCGAGCTGGTGTGGGCGGAAGGGGATGGTCTTCCCCCTGCGAGTCGGGGAGGGAGGATGGTCATCTCTGGCCGTTGTGGCACGTAGATCCTCACGACGGGGCACGTCCATGGCTGTAGAGACTCGTAGCACTTGGCGGCTAAGCTCCCCCTGGGAGAAGTATCCGGTAGCGACATCGTCGACTGCCCCTGCTTCTGCGACCCAGTCATGGTGTGGGGCTTCGGGGCTGGCAGTTTCACGGTCATGCTCCCCACTGTGCTTCTTCGGCGCATTTCCCCCTGGGACTTAATCTCTCGTCCCTGCTGTTGTCCTGCTTGCAAGGATGATCCCAACCTGAAAGAGCCCGTTCAGACGCCACCATATCTTCCGAGTGAGGGGGGAGGCGCCTTGGCAAGACAGCGCAGGGGACCAGGCAGTTTTTACCCCGCCGATGATTGACGAGGCAGAGATAGCTGAGGACGGCACCGAGGTCATCCACTTCCAGAACACCTGGCCGAGCAGCACGGCCCTCACTGCAATCTTCCAGGGCCTCGACAAACATGCGCTGAAGAAGGAGTGGGTGATGAGCACCTCCGAAGCCACTCACTTGGCGGAGCGACTCAAGAAACGCCAATGGGAGAAGACTTCTGAGCAGAGAAACTGGCGGCCACCGCTACGACGTCGCAGACCCCTACAAGGTGACTGAGAGAAGGGGGAAATTTCGCCGCCAGCCAGCTGAGTGCAAATCAGCACGGGGGAATGAGATCGCTGAGTGAGTTAGAGTTGTGTAGCGGTCGGAGATTCGCCACAAAAGGGGGACTTCCCGATAGCCAGCAGTGTCGGTCAGGCAGGGAGGTAGGCCAGGCAGTGTGTGCGCGTAGTCAGGCTTCGGGTCCGTTCGGTGGGGGATGAGGCGGGTGCCTTAATTTCGTTCGTGCATGATCAGCGGCAAAGGGAGTGCTAAACGCGTGTGTAATGATGATAGTGCTGACTGATACGGGGGACCTGCAGACGTTGGTGGGTACTGTCTTATGTTGGCCGCCTCCTGGCTTGCGACTGCTTCTCTAGTGCCCATGTGATACTAACCTTCGTCATGCTTTGTTCACAGTTCCGAAGAAGCAGTTTCAAAGTGCAGACCCTATGACCTGCCCTGTACCGAGGGGGGCAGCATGGTGGAATGCTCTACTAGTTGGTCAGCAATGATCTGGTACCCTTTCGGAGACAAAGACCACGGCTGCCCGAACTCGCTGGGGGAGCGTACTCGACACAGAGAGAAACAGAGAGAGAAACAGAGAGCGAGAAAGAGAAACAGAGAGAGAGAGAGAGAAACAGACAGAGGGTCTTCTCACGTCCCTTCAAGCCCCATAACACATGGGGGGCCAATAGGCCGGGGGACCTCAACAGTCCCCTATGCCCTGTGGAAGAAGAGAGCGAGAGAGAGAGCAGGAGAGCGAGAACAAGAGGACGAGAGAAAGAGCAAGAAAGAGAGAAAGAGAGAGGAAGAGCGAGAGAACGAGAGCGAGGGGGGAGGGGGGAGGGAGGTTGCGATTGGCAGGTCTAGATGAAGGTTTCGTGTGTTGCGTCGGTTCGGCGTCTGGCGTGTTCAATTTTCATCGGATCTTGGATTTCGATCGTTGAAAGCTGAAGGTAAGCCAAAGCCCCAAACCGACACAGAACTTCCCAATGTCCAGCCGTGAGCTTCACAGCCAACCCCTTTAGGGATCAGGGTTTCAGAAAGGAACGTTGTAGGGCCCATGTTCTTCACACACAGGGCCTTGCGATGTCGCTTAAGTTTCCATTTTGGAATGATTTAAAACTTCTTCTGTACCACCAGCGGTGTAGCATATACCCTCCTGGGCTTGCGGATTTCAGCAGGGCTCTGCCACACTGTCGAGGCCCCAGTTTGGACAAGGATGGCCCGCGCCTCAATTGGATGTATGTCGGGCGGCATCCTGTCGACATTTCGTGCATCTACACGTGGGCGCGAGGCAGAAGGCTTACACATAAATGCTTCCAAAATTGTCCTGAGCCCCTGGATTCTGAACCGCGGCAGGTAGACCCAAGCTTGAATGACGAACATGTCAATGCACATGCAATAGGACGTCGTCGATGCAAGTTTATGTCAGCGCGTGAAAGGTACAAGCTGCAAGCATAGACATCACCAGTGCAAACCATGAAACCTCCAACTCCAAAGCGTTAATGAAATTTCGCGTTTAATCCGAACCTAAGGGAGGAGATGCCAGATGGCAGCGTCTATGTAGGCCTCGCCTATCCGGCTGAGGGTCAGGACTTCGTGGGCTTTTAAATGATCCTGCAACTAGTCTGCATCTCCCAGAATTCAACAGGATATGATGGTTCAATGTTTCAGAAGGATGTGTCACACACGAGTCTTCACTCGCTCATATGCTCAACTCATGGTCCGTGGCCTTCTGACAGCACGAACAGCTGCGCAGTCCAGAACTTCAAGTTGAAAAAAATGAGATAGAACCTCGACAGCCTAAGCTGAAGCAGCTGAAGGTGCTTGCCCAGAGCACTGCATGGGAGGGGAAGCGGGACACGGAGTGGAGGGAGAGGGGGAGGAGACGCAATGTTTTGAGCATGGGGGTGAACGCACGACTCCGAACCTGGAGCTGCTCACAGCTCAAGAAGAACACCTGGAAACCCCAAATGCAGCGCCTTGCCACACCAACATACCAGTGCTCCGGAGACTGGACTGGACAGGCAGCTTTCGCTACGGTCTGCGGGACGGTCAAGGCCGGGAGTTGGACACGGGCTTGTTGCTTAGGCGAAGGCGGTTATTCTCGCGAAGCCCGGAGGGGACTGCATGCAACTCTTTGCACACTTTGGCACAACTTCCTTGATATGTCATTGTTCTTCAATACGGGGCACGTGAGCAAATGCTTACAGATTCGTGCAATGTTCAGGCTGCGGGCACTTCGCTGCAATCTGTAGCCAGCAGGGACATGCATTTCCTGCCTCGTCCCTCTGGGTACGTACGTGTACACACACACACACGATCTTTAGTTACTTTAGTGTGCTCGGGCCTGAACGGGCCGCGGGCTTTTCCCCTACAGGACCTGTTGTCCGACGTGCTCCGAACTTGTTTCTAGCTGAGTCTGATGGTGTGTAGCTGTTGTTCTGGCGCTGCATTGTTCGGACTTTCTTTTGAATCGGTTTCTCTTTGGAAATTGGGGCGAGTGATTTTGATTTCTGATTTCATTGTTTCTAATTCCACTTCATAGGACAAGCCAAGAACATCAGATTCCGTAGCCCATGCTGCGCGTTGCAGGCGTTCTCACGCTTAATGCGGAGGGCACTGACACCTACGAGGCTCCCCACCATGGCTTTTAGGGCCAGCCGGTACCACCCAGGTCGAACGAGGTCGAGCGGTGTCCTACACCGCAGCCCTTGAACCCGACCCTCACACCCTTTGAAAGGGGCACTTCCGGGCTGGCCACTTTGACGGATATGGTACTCGCCAGTGGGCCTCATGGCTGCCAGTTTAGGGGGAATATCTCTTAAGGTTACGGTGTGTGGATTGGTGGCACAGGGATGTACAACTCAGGAGTCAGTAGTATGTTCATTTTCGAGTTCATGGGTCAAGGGTTTGACTTGGGACTTGCTCGTGTTCCAAGTATTCGGATGTCTGCATGCTTTCCTGTGGATTCGATAGTTCTTTGCAACGTGGTTTCCGCTGCCTCAGCCCGGGAGGGGTCACCACCCCCCTTTTCTTCCCACCCCACCCCCTCCCCCGGCGAAGGGAAGGGGCGACGTACAACCACACCCCCCTCTCAAGGAATGAAAACGTGCTACGAGTATTCGTTGTGTTTTAGTGTTATACCGCTGGTATTAATTATTATGTTGTGATAGTATTACAATAATCATGATAATGGTGATCGTGACTCTTATTGTTGTTATGATTTGGGGGGTGGGGGGT